TAATCTCAACCTTATTTAATATTTTTCTCAGTAGACCTATAGGATTTTTATTTGGTAGATAAACATTGACTAGTGTAAACAGTTCCTCATTAATTGTAGCTATCAGTATAATGAATCTTCCCTCCAGATCTATCTCCAAGAATTTTATATTTATTTTTAAATCTTTTGCAAAAAATATTGCAACTCCACCCCTTTTCCCCTCCTCTCTAGAGGAACAAACTTTTAAAGGAAAAGAACTACTGGTCCATCTCTTTTCATCCTGTTTACGCCAATGTGTCTCTTGGACCATCGCAATTTGAACCTGTTCTTTTTTTAAGTAATCTTGAAAAGCTAGTCTTTTTTGAGGGATATTTAATCCTTGAATATTTATCGTGATTAATTTAACCGTTGTCATATAATGTCATTTTTTTTTTCTCTCTTCTTTCTCTTTCTCCCTTTTTCTCTCTTTAGACCATCTAATGAACTCCCGAAAAAAAACAAAAAAAACAAGACCCATTACAAAACTTACATAAAACAGCCTCAAGTCTACAAACACTTGGGGTCTATTTCCTAACATACCTACGACTCTAAAAAGAGTCAAAAAACACTTCCCTTGATGGGTATTAATACCTACTTTAACCTTTTTTCAGGTTCCGGCAGGGGAGGCTGCATCCCGTTTTGAAGGAGCCAAAACTACATTTTTCTTTAACATTCCTATTTCAACATTCTCTTATGCTGTATGACATCTATTCTTCTACTTTTCTCTCCTCCTCCCTCTCTGATACGAGAAAGAGAAGAAGAAAGGAAAACAGAAGGGGAGAAAAAAAACAAAAACAAAAAACCTTACTTACTAATACCTTTCCCTTATTACACTCTTATTCTTTCCTCTTTCCCTTCTTTTTCCTCTTCCCCTTACTCCCCTCTTTTACTACATACATTATCAAATCTTTGTTCTTTCCTATTCATATGAAACACTTTCTTTCCCTTTCATTTCCCTTTTTCTTACTTTTTCTTTCACACCTCTAAATTTCAACTCTTTTGTGTTTAACCTTTTGAATTTATTTTGTGATTCCTTACATTTACTAATTTCTAAAATCTTATTACTTGTGAGTAACTAGCCTGGAATTTGTTGTGATTCTAAATTTAACCCTTTCTCCTCAATTTAATGTATCATACATAGTTTTCAATATTATCTTTTACAAATTCATTTGTGTAAATTACTTTACTAACATATATGTGTTTTCTTTTAACTTAAAAGTGCTTATCTCTATTTATTTATTCTCCATTATATTAATTTATTCTCTGTGTCTTCAATATGCAGTTTCAACTTCCAAAAAAAAAAAAAAATGGAAAAATTCTCTTCCTCTCATCTCTTCTCCTCCCTCTCTCTCTCAAGTTCTCCAAGGCAATTATCTTCCGCTCATAACCATACTTTAAGTCTTCAAGTTCTTTTCTCTCTGCTTTTTCTTTCCTCTCCTCTTCTTCCCTCTCTCTCTTTTTTCTCTCTCCCCTTTTCCTTTTTCTTTTCTTTTTTTTTTTTTCCTCCTCATCTGATTATGTGAGATCATTTCTCTTTCTTCTTTATCCATTGTTCTATCTGAGATGAGGTCGTAAATATCTCGCGTATTCCTTCTGTGATTATCATTAATTTACAGGGATAAATCCAAGAATATTTTATGTTTAGTCTTCTTAATGAAGCCGTAGCCGTCGAGAATTTTTTTCTTTGTTGTCTAGTGTAAAAGGACAAATCTTGAAATATCTTGATGTCACCAAACTTTTCTGTATTATGCTGTTTTGTTCGGACTGCATTCATTATAGCTTCTTTAAATTGATGCGACTGAAAGTTTATTATTATGTCTCTCGCAATTTGTTGAGGAACCGAACTTGGTTTATTTATACGATGATATTGCTCCATTTTAGTGTTTAAAGTTGATACATTAATATTAAGTGTTGCCCATAGGGTATCAAGGAAGTCAGGTATTTTATCTTGTGTGACTGTCTCTGGAACATTTCTTACTCGCAAATTGTTTCTTCTTAAGCGATCCTCCAGATCTCCTAATTTTCCTTCTATTTGTCTCAGTTGATTATTCAGCTGCTCATTTTGTTCTTTATATACTCTGCTCTCAAATTCCAAAGCTGTGATTTTGTCTTCATTTTGCTTTAGTTTTTCTAGTATTTCCTGCAGTTTTTTTGTTTCTGTTGTATTTTTATTAAGTTCAGCAGTTATTGCCCCCAGTTGCTCTTCTAGACAATGTTTTAGAATGTCTGTTGTAATATAATTTTCTATTTGGCTGGATGATTGACTAGATGGACTTTGAATAAAATCTTCACTTTTTGAAGAATATACACTTGAGCTATCTTGATTTTTTCCTTTATTAGATTTTTGTCCAGGTGAAAAAAAACTTGAGGGATTTCTTTCTGTTTGTTGATCCTGTTTAACTGCTTTCTTAATGGCTGCTTTCGATGATTTAGTTGCCATAGTTTTTTTTTTATTTATTTAATTTCTCTTCCCCCTTTTTTTCCTTTTCTTCCTCTCCTTCTTCTCCTTTTTCCCCTTTTTTCTTCTTTTTTTTCTCCTTTTACCCTTTATTTAGGGTTTTTTCCATATTTGTTTTATATATTTTTTTTTTTTTATTAATTTTTATTTACAGTTTTTTCTTTACTTTTTACCACTTCCTTCTCCCTTTTTTCCTTTTCTTTCTTTTTCCTTATTTTATATCTTTCCTTTTTTTTTTTATCTATCTAATACTGAGTATTGCCAGATCTCTTGTTTCTTTCTTTTTATTCTCTTCCTCTCTCAGTCCTTTCACGTTCTTTTCACAGCATTGAGCATAAGCTAAAGAGCTAATATAAACAAAAACCAAGGAAGTACTTAGCTTGTCTTCATTTCTCTTTGCATCAAATGCTCACTTCACACAGTACTTCCTTTTGACTATTTTATTTATCCCGTATGAGCAGATATAGGCAAATTTACATCTTACCGATTTCGACTAATTGTCATTTCACAGTCTTTTAACACAGTCTTTTCACAGCTTTTCACAGCATGAGCAGTAACTAGAGAGCAAAAAAAGGGAGTACTTAACTTATATTTAAATCTCTTTTCTCTTTACGTTCTCTTTACATCCGTTGCTCCTTTCACACAGCTTCACACAGCTCTTCCTTTTAATTATTCCGTATGAACAAATATGAGCAGGTACAAGCAGAATTACCATCTTATAGGGTTTCAGCTAGTTTTCAGCGTCAGCATCAGCATCAGTGGTATTAACGGTATCAGCGGTATCAAAGATATCAAAATGTTAGCCGCTCTCAGACTTGCTATAATGCCGGTTTTCTTAGCGCCGTTCGAACTTCAATCTTGCCTCGAGTGATCTAAAAGAACGCCGTTCCTCCTCCATTACAGGGTCAACCTCCCCGCCTCCGGATGCGTGCGTACCTCCGCCCACCTCTACGTCATCACGCAAACACCTAAGTATAGGAGTGCTCTGTGCACCCACTTTATGCCTGTCACTGGGGGCATGTGCAGTCTTTGTTGGTTGCATGGCTCCACTGCTGACGTGGTGTCCTGTGAGGCGGCACAGCTCGCACAACCCTAAGGCCGGCCCTGGGCTGTGTAGCATGTTTTCCTAATGTGACAATTTCCACATCCACTTTAGGGGCAGCTGTCCAGAAGGAAGCATCAGACTATTTAACTGAAACGTTGAGAGATACTACCATGAATGGATATTCTCTTTTTTTTTTTTTATTCATCTTCTATAAGATCATTTATGGTCTCATGGAGAGGGAAGGAGGCTTGCTTCTTTTTTAAACTTGCGAAATGTTTTTCATAGATGTCTGCCAATTTATCCTCCAGCCTTATTGCCTCAATTAATGCTTCTAACTTTTTGTTACTGAACCAGCATGTTCTTCTTAAGAAAAATAATATAACCCTTCTAAATTCTTTATATCCACATCTTAGTCAAAACCTCTTGCCAGATCAGGATGCTTCTTTCATCACTTCTGCCACTTAATAAAAGATAGGATAGTGGAGGGACCTTCTAGCACTGCTTTTAAGCAGGACATGAATTATGTCTTACCTTTCATACCTCTACTTTCACATTGTTAAGTTCTTTGCCCTGTTTTCATGGCTGGATAATAATCCAGCATTAATATATGTTATTGTTAAATAATTGCATATTCGGTCTTAAAAAATATGCAGATAGGCAAAGAAAAAAAAGTGACTCAATCAATAAAATTCCACAAAAAAACATATGTTTATAATAAATATATATAATACCAAAAACATCTGGTCTCCCTTGGTCCTGCAGCCTCTAGAGGAGAAAGGCTGAACGTGTCCAGGTAAGAATAAAATAAAAGAACTGAGCTCCCTCTGGGAGGGGGTATTTATAATTAATTTATTATTAATAAAAAATTTTTATTAATACTACTTTATTTTTTATTAACTATAAGTAGGGAGTTCTGCTTGACAAACCCTGCAGAGAATCTGCCGATCAAAATGATCTGGTCATGTCATCGTTATTACATGAAACAGTCTCTGTGATTGATGCAGGGATGGGGGAGTCTGCTATGCTACTCTGCAGTGTTAAAGTCCACCTTTTGCCGGATGGCACAGCATGCACATTGGCATTAAGGGGCTATACATAAATTAGGTTTATGGAGATAAATGAGCTTGAACCTTCATACAATTGCTGCATGAGAATAACCTCACAAATGCAACTGCAAAATGTAGTCTAAAATAGTCAAGCAGTGATTAAAATGATTTGGAAAATGTATTCAAATCAGCCCAATTTGTAAATACTCAGTGGGCAAAAAATCTTAGTATTGCATTATTACTGATGAATTTGAAATATTTGGAATTGGTGTCCCAGTGGATGAAGTACTTTTGCTGGTGATAAAAAATAAATAAAACATGATTTATACAGCAAATTTCATTTAGCAAGAGTATACAAATCTCTACAAAAGAATTAAAAATACGAATAGGCACACTTTGCAATCAATCCATACGATACCAAATGCTATACTTGGTTGAATTATTTTCGTGTATACATTTAGGTAGTAGTATATACCTAATGCTAAACATTGCCAAATGTGTTAATATTTCCACATGTATCTTAAAGCAACATGACTCTGTAATTAAAATATGTTAAATGCCACTGCCATGCTCTCACTGGGAATGACACAACATAAAGCTGGTGATAAGTAGGAAACAGGATAAATGGTTGAAATGAATAGCTTTTTAATAAATAGATTGCAACAAACAACAGTGTACATTCCTCCCAACCCACTGATTACATGCAAAACACCCGTTTTGTATTTAATTGTTAGAACATATAAATGCATCTGGTTATAGTCAAACAGATTGTTTCACATACCACTTGAACAGTAAACACCTGCATCTGAACAGTAGATCAAACATCCGTAAAGGCATATTTATTCACTTGTGCTCTTTCAATCATTTTCACCAACAAAATGCACTATAATGTACTTAATATGGGACTAAAAACATTACTTGCGTACTGTATCAAATTATGTTTTACAGTAGTGCCTGTCAGTGAAAGTAAAAGCAAAGTAAAAAATATAATGATATTGATGCACATTATATTTTGCAAATTCTATAACATAATATCTTCTATTGATATAGGCCAAGTACAAGTATAATATGCTTTTTCTATCTGATTTTTGGAAATCCAAACAGACTGGTTTATCAATAGTTGGTGGCAATTCACATATTTTCTATTGGACTACTAATTGTATATACACCAAACACAATCAATGAGTCAAAGACACACTATAGTATATACTCACAATGCACTGAGTAATCTGCTAATAAATTGAAAAACAAATGGTCACACGTAGTATGCATTCGGAGATTTACCAAACTCCAATAATTTACAAATATCCTCCAAACTGTTCAAGACATCTGTGAGCAAATAGTGCATAATAAAAATAAACAACACAAGGCCCCAGACCCCAATTACCCTGGAGGGACCTATGACTGGAAACATTATTGAATGATCTGATCCTTCCAAATCTACAAACCTGTGCACTGTTATGGGAAATATTAAGTATTAGTTACTCCCCAAACGCTGTGCCAGAGTTGAAAATGTAATTGAGTAGATCGGAATCCACAGCTGCCCACCTGTTCCTTCACCTATCTCATGTGATTGGTTGGGGAATTACAAATAATTATTATTCAGCTGCAGATGACTTACCCTGTGCCCATAGAAGGTCCTGCCTTATGGACCTCTACTTCTATTAAACATGCACAGCAAGTTAAAATGTTAAAATAGGATCACTGGGGATCCAATGGACACAATGGGCACCATGATGAAGAGTACCAAGTTCCATAGCATTGAATAATAATACAATAAACATAACTACCCATACACGTGAATGTACAGTTCCCTGGCAAGAATTAGTACATTTTACCATTATTCAAATAATTTTTTATGCTGAGAGATGCCTTTATCTTATCATATTACTACACATCCCTTACTATCCCTCCCAGAGTGCCAAAGAATATGCTGTCCCCATGACACTATTCAAATGAACCTCCCTTTACCTACATTTCTCTTTAATGTACATTAATGTAAAGGGATTCTTAACTAATCCTTAATATTTACAATAGTGGCTTCCAAATAGTAGATCCCATCCACTGTAGTATTTTATTTCCCATGATGCTTAGCATTTTTTTTATATTGGCAAGTCACTCTGGAATTATTTGGGATTGCATTCCTGTAGTATTTGTGAGCTATTTTTTTTTTTTTATAAACATTTAGCTTCCCTATACCTCATTCAGATATGATAGATTATCAAAAATAGTAAATCTAGTGCAAATTGATAATTCATTTTCTAAATTGCCTCATTATCTACCAAATTTATGCTAACTGTTTCCAAAATTAATGTTCATTCCTTATTTGGGGGGACCAGGGCATAACTTTGCCCTAGATAATAGCAGGAAGGATGTGATTTGGAGGACGTCAGTCACAATTTGAATAGATCAGGGTATAACCTAAGTTTATAACAATATCATTATCCTCTGGGACCAGAAGAAAAAACATGTCCTATGCAGAGTCCCAGAGGATAATCATTGAGCTTTGAAATTTAAGGTCAATGGGAATTATCCTGAGATATTTCTTCAGTTAAAAACAAAACAACTAATCTATAGATTTATGAATATTTTTTGACAGCTCCATTTGGAAGTAGGTTTAGCCACGTCCTTTCAGACTGTCATTGCAGACTAAAGTTGAACTGGATAATCTCAAAATTCACTTCCACATTAACAGACAAGCAGGCAAAGGGCTATGCATAGACACCAGGAACGCACCCTTTTTTGTCAGACTGCAGCACCATAACCAGTACAATGTGCTGTAGAGGGTATACTACTTAGAACATTTAAAGAGTATACATTAGATAGCTTCATTTTATTTGCTTAGTAAATCAATAATCCATAACATTATCTTTGCGGCACATCACCAAGCCTAAAAATATTTGCAGTTTTCTTAAATGTTGCAATATCTTAAACTCATTTTTAATATACTAACAGAAGTTGAAATAACTTTGTTTCATGTGTGCTTAATTAAAAAGAAATGTCTTAGTGAACATGAAACCATGAACAAAATGTTATCTCTGATATATTACAATCTTGCTTTTATAGAGAAATACATAAAGTAATAAAAAATATATTTTACACAAGTACCAAATGCTAGGACAAAAAGTGCAATTGTAAAATGACATAAACATGTTGCAGTTTTCAAGGTAATGGTATTTGTTAAATGCACTAATCTTTTCACATGATTTCTTTTTCTGCTTTTTTAAGAATAGTTTTATATAGAATACAACAAGGATCTCTTTATGTTCCCACTGTCTTGAACAGATCTATATATTCAGAATGTAACAAGACTGAGCTGACTGATATAGTTCTATAATAATGTTTCAAGGTATAGTCTAACTGCCAAAAAGTAATTAATAATCAAATGGCCATTTCTACCTATCAACATGATAGTGTATTTAAGATCACAAAATATGGCATTTTCACAAGGCTTTTACTCTACAATTCCTTTTTTTTTATCTGATCCTAGTTGGAGGAAGAACCGTATCTGACCTGTCTCATTTTGTTGCACTTCTTTACACACTCAGTTACTCTTAGTTAACATTGTAGATGTCAGGCTCAGCTATAACTATTCACTGCTCTATTCAAAAATAATGGTAATATTAAGATAAGCCCAAAAGATATCCTGAAAATAAACAGATAAATTCTTTGCCTAAAGGCATCTTATGGATGGTAATGAGAAGGCTAAAGGCTCGGTAAAACTTAAAATGATAAG